TCCTATCCCCCTCCCCCTTTAAAAACAAAACACACACACACGCACACACACACACACAATTCAATTAGCCTTACAGCAGTTCTAAACCTGCGACTACCTTCAGTTGGGACCAAAGTAAATGGTTTCATGGCTTCATTTTGATCAGTCCTGTGCAAGACGGCCACCTGTCTTATTATACAATATATGTATTGCACGGCCTCTTTTCTCCCCGACAATGCGTGGCCGTTTTACACAGGTTCGTTTGTAAGTGTGTAAATTAAATCGAAAAATGCAACGAGAATGATAGAGCCTACCTTCGAGTTGAGATAATAATAATAATACCGTAAATATTTGTTACAGAAATTTTATTTATGTCGTGTAATAGTAATATAATTCTCTTATCGCAGTTTTACGGTTTCAAATCATTATTTTTAGGAGCGAACCTGTTGCACAAATTTGATATATTTATAACGTTTTATATAAAAAGCATGTTACATAATATATAATATAGTCTCTCTCTCTCTCTCTCTCTCTCTCTCTCTCTCTATATATATATATATATATATATATATATATATATATATATATATATATATATATATATATATATATATATATATATATATATATATGCAAAAATTATTTTTTAAAATGATAATATCATCTGGCATATTATGCACTTAAACCAATAAAAATGTATGTGTTCTACACAAGCGTCAGGATACAGGATACCCGTCTTCATAAAAGATAAAACGAGCTTTTCAGTGCGAATGCGTACGAATGTTTGTTTGTTTGCGCGCGCACGCGTGCACGTGAGTGTGTGCGCGCGCGCGCGTGTGTGTGTGTGTGTGTGTGTGTGTGTGTGCTTGTAGGATTCTCCTAACTCACCACAGAGTCTGCACCAGAACTTTCACTTTCAGACCTTTTGCACTCCGGTTTTCACAGGGGGTAGAAGGGAGACAAGCACACCAGGCTGAGTTTGCTATAAAATAATGAGAAGCACGTCGACACAATAATAATGGTCATTTAGTGCTGGGAAAAGGGTCAAACAGACTGACAGAAACAGAGGAAAAGTAAATATCTAAAAGAAGTAGGACCTACCAATGGCACCGTCCAACCACCTTGGCCCATCGCAATATGTATCGCAATTAGATAATTCGAGAAAACGAACGCATGCTGAGTGAAAGTTCTAAAAAAAAATTCCATTTGGAGTTCATACAAACACACTGTACAATCAAACCTGCTCTTTTTGTTTTAGTTAGAGTTTTACGGCAGTTGCAATACAATAAGTATAAGGTCATAATATGAGAGCCGAAGAATAGAGGTGTCAACAGAGAGTAACAAATACAACAAAGAAGATTTAAGGACGATAGATTATGTTTGATATGAAAAGGAAAGGAGCAAAGCACCACCGGAGCACCCGACAACCAATCAAGAATCTGCTCTAGATCTAACGACCACATGTGCAAGACAATCACCTGTACAAACGACCACATGTGCAAGACAATCACCTGTACAAATGATCACATGTGCAAGACAATCACCTGTACAAACGACCACATGTGCAAGACAATCACCTGTGCAAACGATCACATGTGTAAGACAATCCCCTGTACAAACGACCACATGTGCAAGACAATCACCTGTACAAACGATCACATGTGCAAGACAATCACCAATACAAACGACCACATGTGCAAGACAATCACCTGTACAAACGATCACATGTGCAAGACAATCACCAATACAAACGACCACATGTGCAAGACAATCACCTGTACAAACGACCACATGTGCAAGACAATCACCTGTACAAACGACCACATGTGCAAGACAATCACCTGTACAAACGACCACA